AGTCCCCCAGATTTGATCAATTAAAAGCTGAAGTAAAACAAAGTCCAATATTAGAAAGGGAGAAATTTTCCACTTGCTTCTCTTATAGCAAACAAGGCAACTTTGCAACAACTTGGAAACTTGTAACACAAAATAACTTCACCAATCCACACTCATTGGCTCGTTAACTTTAAGGCTAAGCGCCATGTTTTTTTCAAAGCACTTTCACTCACTCAAATTTGTCTCAGTTTGAAAAGTCAACAAAGCGCTGATACTTGCGTTTCCAAATTTCAGGGTTCAGATAGGTTCGCTGTTTGTTAAAGCTGATTCTTTTCAGATTACGTTTCCTGCAGCCGGCTTGTTTTGCGGAAGCAAAATCGTCCCACGTCGCCCGGAGTTTCCGCAGGTTGGGAGGGAGCCACACCCGTTCTCTCCCCAGAAACAATTCCCTGGGGGACAACGGGGGCTCAACCTGTACCCTGCGATCTCTACTTCTTCAATCCTTAGGATTTTGAAGCTTTCAAGCCGCTTCTGAGTAGTGAAGCGGCTCTACGGGCGGCGGGGCTGGCGGAGCTCCGAAAGGCACCGCCGTCGCCGAAGCTGAAATTCAATTTCAATAGCAGTTTATAAACCTTAGCATGCTTAATATGTTCAACAATTCATTTCCAATTCATTTTTCACAAAATCGTATCCATAGTCCTTTTTGCCTTTCAATTGTAAATATATAAATCAATGGCATACATCCTTCTGATTCCAACTCCCTCTTTAGATCTGAGGATAGGATCATGATAATTGAATGATATTACTTGACCATAAATCCCCCAGTCTGGCCTCGCCACCATTTCTTTTCTAAAAAAGCTTCCTGGGGAGACACCCAAAGAGGAAGGCATGTCTAACAAAATGATGATTAAAATCAATATTTGGTTTAACCTTATCATCCCATAAAGATCTGTGCCATCAAAATCTTTATTCATGCCTGTCAAGCTCAAGGAACCTCTTATTTTCAAGAGTCACTCACTCATTACCAGAAAACAACAAGCATCAAAATACAATTTCAAATCTGGTCAACTCAAATCTCTCTCCTTACCACCTTGCAATAATTTATGTTTAATTTTTGGTTTTTTCCCCTTGCCATATAAACTTAGAGATGTCCACCTACCATAGTTTAAATTAAATTGATTCTACCCAATAATTGCAGCATGAAGAATTTGTGATTGACCCAAGTCAACAAGTATATTTCATGTTTGAATGTATGTGTATGTATAGATAGATAGATAGATAGATAGATAGATAGATAGATATAGATGATATATAGATATATAGATATATATAGATATATATAGATATATCTATATATTTAAAGTTTTTTTTTTAAGACAACAAACATTTAGTACATCATTCATTTCTTCCATGTGACATTTCGGTGTTATCTTCAAAAGTTTCTTCTCTTCTCTACTTTTTCTGTCTTCAATCTCACCAAATCTATTACAAAAATTTTCCACTAATATAATATTCTAATTACAACCAATTTTTTTTCAATCTCTCTTAAAAACTTATTTGTATCTTTTTTCTAACCAATAGTAAAATTTATTCCATATCTTAAAATATTCTGAATCTTCTCTTTCCTTTATCATCATAGTTAAACTGTTCATTTCTGCACAATCTAAAAAAAAAATAATTACTTCTCCCTCCGAAGGTATATTCTCTGCTTTCCAATTTTGTATATAAACAATCCTTGCCACTGTTATTACATGTATAATCAAATATATATTATCTTTACTAATTTTCTCTGGTAAGATACCCAGTAGGAATAGCACTGGTTTCAAATCTATACGTTGTTGTATCATTTTCTCCACCCATAACTTAATTTTATTCCAATAGTTTTTCGCTTCGGGGCATGTCCACCACATATGGTAATATGAACCTGGTAACTGGTGACATTTCCAACATTTAGCTGATTTATCTTTAAACATTTTTGCCAGTTTCTCAGGGGGCATATGTCATCTATAAAACATTTTATATTGATTTTCCTTATATGCAGTGGACATTGTTAATTTATAATTTCTTTCCCATAATTGTTGCCATTTATCCAATTCAATTGAATATCCAAAGTTTTTTGCCCAGGCTATTATTGTTTTTTTTACTTGTTCTTCCTCTAGTTCTATATTTAGTAGAAAACTGTAACATTTTTTAATTAATTTATCCTCTGTTCCCGTGAGTATCTTATCAAGCTCAGTCTTCTCTAAATAAAAACCCTGTAGTTTAACATCCTTTTCATATTTTGTTTGTATCTGCATGTACATATACCAATCCATTTCAATTCTCTGTTCTTCCAGTTCATGTTTCCCTTTCAACTCCACCTTATCTGTTAACAAATCTTTATATCTAACAATATTTCCAAGATTAAAAACATTTGGGTGAATTAAAGCTTACATTGTTGATAACCATATTGGTATTTTCACATAATATTTAACTCTTAACTTTTCCCCATACCAATAACAATGCATTTCTTATATAAACCCCCACGGAGAGGGTTCGCAACTTGGGTGTCCTCCTGGACGCGCGGCTATCCTTAGAAGGGCATATGACGGCCGTGGCCAGGGGGGCTTTTTATCAGGTTTGCCTGATCCGCCAGTTGTGTCCCTTTCTGGATCGGGACTCCCTGCGCACAGTCACTCATGCCCTCGTCACTTCCCGACTGGACTACTGCAATGCTCTCTACATGGGGCTCCCCTTGAAGAGCATCCGGAGGCTCCAGCTGGTCCAAAATGTGGCCGCGCAGGTGATTATGGGAACGGCGGGGCGCTCCCATGTAACCTCTCTCCTGCGTGAGCTGCATTGGCTTCCAGTGGTCTTCCGGGTGCGATTCAAAGTGTTGATTAACATCTTTAAAGCGCTCCATGGGTTAGGACCTGGGTACTTACGGGACCGCCTTCTGCTACCGACAGCCTCCCACCGGCCAGTACACTCCCACAGGGCGGGGCTCCTCGGGGTGCTGTCGGTCAGACAATGTCGACTGGCGACCCCCCAGGAAGAGCCTTCTCAGTGGGGGCTCCTGCCCTCTGGAACGAGCTGCCCCCGGAGGTATGGAGGATCCCAGGCCTGCGCACCTTCCACCGTGCCCTGAAGACTTTGTTCTTACAGCAAGCCAGGCTAGCCTAATTTTAACTGTTTTAAATTTTAAATTGGATTTTAATGGGATATTTTTAATTGTGGGCCAAAGTATTTAATCTGGTTTTAAATTGTTTTTAATTTTTATATTTATGTATTTGATCATGGCTGTTCACTGCCCTGAGTCCTTCAGGAGAAGGGCGGTATATAAATATAAATAATAATAATAATAATAATAATAATAATAATAATAATAATAATAATAATAATAATAATAATAATAATAATAATAATAATAATAATAATAATAATAATGTCTTTGAAAGTACGTTTGTATATTACTTCTACCATACCATAAAAAAGCATGCCAACCCAATTGTAAATCATGTCCTTCCAGTGTTAATGGTCTTATATTTCTTAATTCAATCCATTCTTTCAACCATGTCAATGCTGCTGCTTGATAATATAATTCCCAATTCAGGAGCCTGAATCCTCCATGTAATCTTGTATCCTGAATCATTTTTAAACTTATTCTTGCTTTTTTGGCTTGCCATATAAATTTCCTTATTATCTTATTTAGATATTGAAAATAAGTATTTTCAATTTTTATCAGTATTGTCTGAAATATTGATAAAATAGGAGCCTGGTGGCACAGCAGACTAAACTACTGTTAAAAGTAGCACTTAGCTGACTGCACTTACTGCAAGTTCAATTCTCACCAGGCTCAAGGTTGACTCAGCCTTTGAGGATCCGGTTTGTGGGGGCAATAAGCTGACTTTGTATAGAAATAGAACACTGCTTGGGGGTGGCAAAAAAGCCCTACTAAGCAGGTATATACAAAAGTATGAAGGCTATTGCTTAATGCATTGTAAGCCGCCCTGAGTCTCCGGAGAAGGGCGGCATATAAAACAAACAAACAAACAAACAAATAAATAGAAATAATAATCTTGGTAATAAATTCATCTTTATAATTGCTATCCTTCCCATAAGTGACAATTGAAGATTCTTCCATTTCTCCAAGTCTTCATGATTAAATGTATATTTGAACTTTGATCTCAGTTATCTGCAATGTGTCAAATGAATCATAATTAACATTAGAAGCTATTTCAGTATTGTGGCAGGTTTCCTTTGTACTTGTTATGTATAATTTTCACATCTTCTGCAACCATTTTATAAAGAAACAATTTTAAACTTACACTTTTATTTAAATCTTACAGATGAAGAGGATACCAATAAGAGCACTTCGGACAACTGAGAATAACCAGCAACTTTGAAAATGAAAGCAAATTGAGCCTTCAGAAAAGCACACAATTCTTCTCTTTCCCTAGCTGGTGAGAGACAAAGGACAGAAAATCAAGAAGAGATTTCAAACTGGAAAAAGTAGAATATGCAGAACTCAACAATAGATTACATTTTCCATTGAGAAAGAGGGAAATATCTAGAGGTGAATGAGGAGGAAAAAGACAATTGGATAGCCACAAAAGGTAGACAGTAATGCAGGCATTGCCCTGTGAGGAAGAAAACAATAGTTTGAATCAAAGCTCTATGCAACAAAAGATCACACGTATTTTTGATCTCTTCAAGAACATCAGTGGTGGAAAAGCTCCATAGGTGTGCCTATTGTGGGAAAAGCTCACATAACAAATCACAGATTATGCATACTAGAATCCACACTGGAGGAAAGCCATACAAACTATCCGAATGTGAGAAACGATTTAGTAAGACCAGTTCCCTTGTGGTTCATGAAAGAACCCACACAGGAAGAACCCCTATAGCTGCTCCCAATGCAGTAAGTGTTTTTGCAAGCATGGCAACTTGGTGATACATTAGAGGACTCACAGGAGGGGAAAACTTTGAATATTCTGATTGTCAGAAAACTTTCAGTTAGAATTCCAACGTGGTGATATACTAGAGGATGCACACAGGAAAGAAATCATATAACTGTCCTGATTGTGGGAAAAGTTTCACTGCAAATTCCCACCTGGTGATACACCAGAGGACTCACACAGGAGAAAAACCCTTTGAATGTCTTGATTGTGGGAAAGGTTTCAGTCAGAATTCAAGCCTGGTGATTCATCAGAGGACTCACACAGGAGAGAAACCCTTTGAATGTTCTGATTGTGGCAAACGTTTTAGTTGGAATTCCAATTTGCTTAAACACCAGAGGATTCACACAGGGGAGAAACCCTTTGAATGTCCTGATTGTGGCAAACGTTTCAGTTTGAATTCCCATTTAGTTAAACATCAGAGGACTCACACAGGAGAGAAACCCTTTGAATGTCCTGATTGTGGGAAAGGTTTCAGTCAGAATTCAAGCCTAGTGATTCATCAGAGGACTCACACAGGAGAGAAACCCTTTGAATGTTCCGATTGTAGCAAACGTTTCAGTTGGAATTCCAATTTGCTTAAACACCAGAGGATTCACACAGGAGAGAAACCCTTTGAATGTCCTGATTGTGGGAAAAGTTTCAGTCAGAATTACGACCTGGTAAACCATCAGAGGACTCACACAGGAGAAAAACCCTTTGAATGTCCTGATTGTGGGAAAAGTTTCAGTTGGAACTCCAGCCTGGTGATACACCAGAGGACTCACACAGAAGAGAAACCCTTTGAATGTCCTGTTTGTGGGAAATGTTTCAATCAGAATTCCCACCTGTTGGAACACCAGAGGACTCACACAGGAGAGAAACCCTTTGAATGTTCTGATTGTGGCAAATGTTTCAGTTTGAATTCCAATTTGGTGAAACACCAGAGGACTCACACAGGGGAGAAACCCTTTGAATGTCCTGATTGTGGGAAAAGTTTCAGTTGGTTCTGCAGCCTGGTGATACACCAGAGGACTCACACAGGAGAGAAACCCTTTGAATGTCCTGTTTGTGGGAAAGGTTTCAATCAGAATTCCCACCTGTTGGAGCACCAGAGGACTCACACAGGAGAGAAACGCTTTGAATGTCCAGATTGTGGGAAACGTTTCAGTCAGAATTCCAGTCTGGTGAAACACCAGAGGACTCACACAGGGGAGAAACCCTTTGAATGTCCTGATTGTGGGAAATGTTTCAGTCAGAATTCAAGCCTGGTGATACACCAGAGGACTCACACAGGGGAGAAACCCTTTGAATGTCCTGTTTGTGGGAAACATTTCAGTGAGAATTCCAATTTTGTTAAACATCAGAGGACTCACACAGGAGAGAAACCTTTTGAATGTCCTGATTGTGGGAAAAGTTTCTGTCATAGGTCCAACTTGGTGGTACACCAGAGGACTCACACGAGAGAAACTATATGAATGTCCAGAGTGTGGGAAAAGTTTCACTTACTATTCTAACCTGGTGAAACGCCAGAGGACTCCCACAGGAGAGAAGCCATGAGTGTTCAGATTGTGGCAAAATTTTCAGTCAGAATTCCAACCTTGTGAAACATCAAAGGACCCACACAGGAAACAAATCGCATGAGTGTCCAGATTGTGGGAAACTTTTCAGTCGGATTTCCAACCTGGCGATACACTAAAGAACTCACACAGGAGGGAGACCCTTTGAATGTCTGGATTGTGTGAAAAATCCCCATTTTAACAATACATATGGCCTATAAGTAATGTAGGTTTACACACAGGAGTAAAAGTCAAGGAAATCCACATTAGGCAAAAGTTGATGAGTTTAGAGAAGGCCTAAACTTCATTTTTGATCTGTCATTGGAAGTGTAGGTGAGAAATTGACTATTTAAGTTCTGGCCTCGTTTATTTTATTGAAAGATATTTCAGAAGTAGACTTGTGATTGGAGAGAAAAAATGGAAAATATTAATTTGAAAAAGGTGTACTATCTGGGATTTTTTTTTTTGTTTGTTTGTTTGTTATCAAGCATTTCCCTCTCCACAGGATCCTTCCAAGCTTTGCCCTCTCCCACAGGGTCCCTATAGCCATTTCCCTCCCAGGACCCCCACAGGTGTTTCCTTCCCCACAGAGTCCCCACAGGCCTTTTCCCCACCCACAGGGTCCCCAAAGGCTTTTTTCCTCTCCTGCTGCGTCCCCGCAGTCCTTAGGCCTGACTCCCACCCCACCAGGCCTCATAGCCGCCTCCTCTCCTTTGCATCTAGAAGAAATATTGAGTTGAGAAAAGGGATCGTGGCTTTGATGACAGGATCTAAAAGTTTTATTAGCAACTCCTGCTTTGATCTTATTTTCTTGGAAGTGCCTGGTTTTTTCCCTTTGATGGCTGCTGGGTAATAACAGCACTCTGACATTTCTATTGTATCCCCTTGGTGGTGGCAATGTGAGGAAAAAGTCGAATGGTGGAAAATCTTTCATTTTTAATAATGCATTGTGTAATGTAAGAAGTATCAATATCTTTTGGCAAGGAAAAAATCGGGTGGCCTCAATGTTGCTATGAATGTTAGGGCAAGGCAAGGCACTCTGAATGGCCTCAAAAGATGTGCAGTGAATAAGTTTAATAATAAAATTAATAAAATTGTAACACAAAGCCCTTTTCTCAATTCTTCTTCAGTGGTGGTGTTCTCCACGCATACATTGGGTTTCTAACACTACAATTGTTAATCTACCTGTAATCTGTCTCTTTTGCATTCTGCACTTCTATAACCAATCTGTCTTCTTCAGCCTCATTTCCCTCCTCATTATAAATTTAAATTTTCAGTTTCACTAGTACCTCAATCCAGCCACTCTGCCTCTGATGTGAGCTGTAATTAGGCTTCTGCCTCTTAATTTGTTGCATTGCTATTTACCTCAGTCCTAAATTCTGTGAAAGAATGACATTTCTTTATGCAGAGTTAAAAAATTAGAATAGCTAAACTGGATCTGTTTTGATTGGCCTTCTTCTCAGATTCAGCGATGGTGTTCTCCAGCACTGCCAGTCTGAGTGGTCAAAATTAGGACATTTCAAACTGGACACCTAAGGTTTCCTTTGTAACTTTACAACCCCTAAAGCAGCCATTGGTTGTGCCAGTGGGTTTGTCATGGTTGTCCCAAAGGTATTTTTTCAGAAGGCAGTTGGACTTTCTTGTTTGTTTTTTCTTTTGAAGATGTTTTGCTTCTCATCCAAGAAGCTTCTTCAGCTCTGACAGGATTCCATTCCCCACTATCCTGTCAGAGCTGAAGAAGCTTCTTGGATGAGAAGGGAAACATCTTCAAAAGAAAACAAAGTAAAAAGCCCAGTTGCCTTCTGAAAAAGCACCTTTGGGACATCTAAAAACAGGATATAAAAGGATTAACCCACCACCATTAGAATAGCAAAACAGCACAACCCCAGCAGCATCTCAGAAACCTATAAAAATCCATCCACTCATTCAACCAGTCGGTCAGCTGCTCTGGAACCACAGGCTGGTTCTGCTCATCAATAAACGGACCTCCTTTCTTAAACAGCCTCCATTTATTCCCAGCTTGGAACTGGACCTGGAGTTTTATTCTAACAGGATGTAGAGCAGTTTTGATCTCCATTGAGAGTCACACTAAAAAAAGATCAGGAATCTCTAGATCAGCTTTTTACAATGTAACACCCTCCAAGGGTTTTGCCCAAGGTGCCTGCCTCGGAATAATCGAGGTGGAAATTTACCTCATCTGGAAATTGAGGAGGTTGCTCAGAGCAATTCTTTAGGCTCTGCAAGAATGAAGATAAAAAGATGCTACAGGTAATCCTCGACATACAACCACAATTGAGCTGGGCTGACACAGAAAGCGGGGGTGGGGGGGTGGTATTCTTCAAAGCTCCTGAGAGTAGGACGAGAAGGACCAGAGGGAGACATATCAGAAAGGGATCAAGGAGAAACTTCCTGTCAGTCAGAACAATTGATCAGTGGAATGGCTTGGCTCCAGAAGTTGTGGGTGCTCCATCACCCGTGTTTTTTAAGAGGCGACTGGAGAGCCATTTGTCCGGAACAATATAGGGTCCCTGCATGGAGTGTTGGTCCCTTCCAACTCTTATTCTGTAATTCTTTAATAACTTTATGAACGTTTAAGGCTCAGCCTGTAGCTAATCTTCCCAAGTTAAGTAGGGTCACGTTTCACTATTTCACTCGCATCGGCTGCCAGGAGTGGAAAGTGACTTGAGAGCGTGGAATCGGTGAAAACGTCTTGCAAACGCCTTCACAGGTAGAGACGGGACGAGCCTGTTTTACGGCCTCCTATCGGGAGATGGCGGTCAGATGGGCAACATCGGCGCCTAGGAAGCCGTCGCTACAGAGGCATCTGGGGCTGAGCCTTAAGGAGTTAAAACCATCAAGCACTGCATTGCGAGAAGGGAGGGGAGGGGAGGGCTGGATCTACCGGATCGCTCACGGGAGGAAGGTGGTGCGCCGAGTGGCTTCTCTGCTCTTCCGAGAGCCGAAGCAGCAGCTGGTGGGTGAGTGGAGGGCAGGTCGGAGGAGAGGCTGGGAGCAGGAAGGGCTGCTTGATTTCCTCCGCTGCGTGGAAGCAGAGAAGCAACCGGAACATAGAATGGAATATAGAAAAACAGTGTTGGATGGGACCTTGGCGGTCATGTAGTCCAACCCTCTGCTCAAGCAAGAGAACTTGGACCATTTCAGACAAATGGCCGTCCAGTATCTTCTTCGGAGCCTCCAGTGAGAACCACCCACAACTTGGGCAGGGAAGCCCTTCCTTCCACTGGTCGCTGTCAGGAAATTTTCTTCTGGTTTCTAGGATGCTTCTCTCCTTCATTGCTTTCCATCCATTACTTCTTGCCTTGCCTTCTGGTGCTTTGGAGAAGAAGTTAATCTTCTCTTCTTTGTGGCAGCACCTCAAGTATTGGAACATGTCACCTCTAATCCTTCTGTTCACCAGACTAGACCTACCCAATTCCTACGACTTTTCTTCACATGTTTTCGCCTCAAGCCCCCAGTCATGTTGGTTGCTCTTTCATTTCTTCTCTTCAAACGAACCTTCCTGTTTGTAAGTATTAAGTCCAGTATAGCTGACCCTCTAATTATCTTCTCTATTTTTTGCACAACAGAGTTGTCAGGTTCCTCAGGAACCTTTTAAGAATAAATTGGACAGCCATTTATCAAAAATGGTATGGGCTCTCCCCCTGACTGAGCAGGGGATCGGTCTAGATCTAGAAGATCTCCAAGATCCCTTCCAACTCTGTTGTTCTGTTATGGACCTGCTGGTTTTTTTGGCAATAATATCGGAAATCCCCAGAAATCTCATCTGGGAGTTTTGCTTTTTTATTTCAAATATGTAGCCCAGGGGTCGGCAACCGTAAACACCCAAAGAGCCTCAAAAGTCCTAACCGGAAGCCCCCGTTCAATTTTGGACCCGACTGGAAATCCAGGTCCTACATCAAATTCTCCTATCGCAGCGTCCTTTTTTCTCTGCTGACCGGAAGTCGGTTCCCCCCACCATAGAGTTGCTTCCTAGCGGGGCATCCTTTTTCCTCTACCTGTCCTAACTGAAAGCCCTATCAATTGTGGAGCTGATCAGCAACAAGGAGATGAAAGAGCCACATGCAGCTCCAGAGACACAGGTTGCTGAGCCCTGAACTAGCCAATAAGCATTTGATTTCTTTCTTTTTTAAAAAAAAAAAAAAAATGATTTATATGCCGCCCTTCTCCGGAGACTCAGGGCGGCTTACAATGCGTTAAGCAATTCTTATTGGTGCCCCATCCATGTATTAATCAGGTTCAACTGGGTTTAAGCCAGCACTTTTTTAAAAATAGCTTTGAGAACCTTTGGGATGTTCAGTTGTATAAGTAGTCCTCACTTAGCATTTGTTCCCTGAACCTTCAAAGTTACAATGGCACAGTAAAGGCAGATATACATCTGGTCCACAAATTAGCGCTCATTGTAGCACTTGTTCAGTGACCTGAACAAGTCAGCAATTCCAGTGGTTATGAAGGTGGAAAAAAGGAGTTGCAACAATTTGAGTTCTGCCAACACATTTATGATGGTTTCAGCATCCCACACTCGGGATCCCCATTTGTGACTTTTCCAGCTAGATTCTTGTCAAGCAAAATCGGTGGGGATGCCAGCAGGAAGTTGCCAGCCACAGTCAGGTAAAATTGCCCCACAGTGATTCCCTTAACAACTGCAGAGGAACAGATTTAAGTTGGCGCTTTCATGTGATATCATGCTTCCTGATCAGGCTACTTAGTGACACATATGCCAGTCCCAAGTGCAGTCAGTAAGTGAGGACTGCTTCAATAGGAATGTCACCAGAATGGCTGTGGACAGTATTTTCTGCCCTTACTTGGAACTGAGGACTTCCATGGCAAAAGTGGTGTTTCAAATCTTGCAGAGTCTTTAGGCATCATTTTATCAATTAAACCCCCATATCTCTTAAATTAGCACAGAAGGTTTGACTGTAACCATTTTGGGTTTAGGGACAGCTTTCAGGCTAAAAACACATGGATTTTCCACATATGTACATTCTTGTAGATGTGTGTTTTGTACTTCTCTCTGTATAAATCTATCTACAATTGTATAATCCATCCCAAGAACTTCTAGATATATTTCGTAATAACCCTTTACAGTGCTAAGAATTTATTTTTACACGTCATCAAAATGTAAAATACAAAAGTGCAAAGAAGAAATAAAAATAATGGAAAAATGGGAGGAAAAGAGGAAGAGAGAAAAGTTTCATTTTTTTCAAGTTCTTTATCCACTAAAAAACTTTATGGTTTTACCTTTATATTTTCTTTAAGAATCTTCTGTATGAAGATATGAATCCTACTCCAATATTTCTTTGTCACATGTCCACTATAAATGATAAAAAATTTTAGTTACATTTCCAACATTCAAGGTGCCTTTATACATTCTTGAAAATTTATTCAATGTTAGATACCAACATCATAAAAACATTTGGTATAGAGCTGTCTGCCTGAGCATGGGGTTGAAGACTTCCAAGATCCATTCCAACTCTGTAATTCTGTTATAGTCTTCCAGTGTTCAAGCATGTTTGCTTTTTACTTGTAATATATACTTTTTTCACATCTTCTGCAACCATTTTATAAAGAAACAATTTTAAACTTACACTTTTATTTAAATCTTACAGATGAAGAGGATACCAATGAGAGCACTCTGGATAACTGAGAATGACCAGCAACTTTGAAAATGAAAGCAAACTCAGCCTTCAGAAAAGCACACAATTCTTCTCTTTCCCCAGCTTGTGAGAGACAAAGGGAAGAAAATCAAGAAAGATTTCAAACAGGAAAAAGCAGAGGATTCAGAACTCAACAATAGATTACATGAAAATGGCAAAGGAGATTATTTTTTCCATTCAGAAAAAGAGGGAAATATCTAGCGGTGAGTAGGGCGGAAAAAGACAATTGGATAGCCACAAAAGGTAGAAAGTAATGCAGGTCTCTAGACAGTAATACAGGCCTTGCCCTGTGAGGAAGAAAACAGTAGCTTGAATCAAAGCTCCATGGAACAAAAGGCCACAAATTTCAAATTTTTATTGTCAGTGCACAACATTTGTACAATGAGATTGGTTGAACTCCCTCAGTGCACACCCCCCAACAAAATACACACGTATTTTGATCTCTTCAAGAACATCAGTGGTGGAAAAACGCCATAGAAGTGCCTATTGTGGGTAAAGCACACATAGCAAATCACAGATTATGCATACTAAGATCTACACTGGAGGAAAGCGAATGTGGGAAACGATTTAGTTACACCAGTTCCCTTGTGTTTCATGAAAGAACCCACACAGGAAGAACCCCTATAGCTGCTCCCAATGCAGTAAATGCTTTTGCAAGTATGGCAACTTGGTGATACATCAGAGGACTCACACAGGAGAGAAACCCTTTGAATATGCTGATTGTGGGAAAACTTTCGGTCGGAATTCCAACCTGGTGGTACACTAGAGAATGCACACAGGAAAGAAATCATATAACTGTCCTGATTGTGGGAAAGGTTTCATTGCAAATTCCCACCTGGTGATACACCAGAGGACTCACACAGGAGAGAAACCCTTTGAATGTCCTGATTGTGGGAAAGGTTTCAGTCAGAATTCAAGCCTGGTGATTCATCAGAGGACTCACACAGGAGAGAAACCCTTTGAATGTTCTGATTGTGGAAAACGTTTCAGTTGGAATTCCAATTTGGTTAAACACCTGAGGACTCACACAGGAGAGAAACCCTTTGAATGTCCTGATTGTGGGAAAAGTTTCAGTCAGAATTCTGACCTGGTAAACCATCAGAGGACTCACACAGGTGAGAAACCCTTTGAATGTCTTGATTGTGGCAGAAGTTTCAGTCAGAATTCTAACCTGGCGACACACCAAAGGACTCACACAGGAGAGAAACCCTTTGAATGTCCTGATTGTGGCAAACGTTTCAGTCAGAATTCCAACCTGGCGACACACCAAAGGACTCACACAGGAGAGAAACCCTTTGAATGTCCTGATTGTGGCAAACATTTCAGTCAGAATTCCAGCCTGGTGATACACCAAAGGACTCACACAGGAGAGAAACCATACGAATGTCCGGATTGTGGGAAAGATTTCAGTAGTAGATCTAGTCTTATTAGTCATGTAGTTCTACACACAGGGGAAAAACCTTTCAGATGTCCTGTCTGTGAACGGTACTTCAGACGAAAATCATCCTTTATTGCACACAAGGTAATACATATGAGGCAAACGCTACCAGGTTTAGAGAAGGCTTGAATTCCATTTCTGATTTCCGATTGGAAGTGTAAGTGAGAAATTGACAATTTGAATTGTGACTTGATTCGTTTTAGTCAGCATCTCCCAGGATTATAATTTTAGGTTGGGAGAAAAAAATGGAAAATATTAGTTTGATAAAGGCTAACTACCTGTCTGTGTTGAGGTTATTGGATATTTCCTTTTACAGAATTTGTGAAATTTCTCAAAACGACCTGTGGGTGGTGTTTTTTGTATAGAGATTATTGAAATCCTACATTTGGAGTTTCAGCCTTCTATATTGGGGTCCACCAGATTTTGATCCTCACAATTCGCCAGCCAGCATACAAGTAATCCTCGAGATACAACTGTAATGAGGCCTACCTCTTATGGATGCATTTAGCAATGGCGACAGTGCTTTGATTAACTAACCCCACCCACTGATCTCTCTTATGCAGCTGTTAAATGAATGTGCAAGTCGCTAAATAGGACACTGGCTACCTCAGTGTTGGGGGAAACTCATGGAGGGCTAGTTCAGGCCCAGGCTTGCCCCACCCCCAGGCATCCCTAGGTCTCCCAACTCCCCAAGACACCTATTGCTCTGATTCCCAACTCTTGGTTCTCCCCAGGCCTTTTCCTCCCTTACAGGGTCCCACCAGGCTTTTCCTTCCCCCCACAGGCCTTCTCCACAGAATACCCTTGGGCCTTTCCCCATTCCCACTGGTTCCCTGAGGACCTTAGGCCATTCCGAACAAATAGAGCACCCACAACTTCTGGAGGCAAGCCATTCCACTGATTAATTGGTTTCACTTACAAGAAATTTTTCCTTAATTCTAGGTTAGATTCCTTTTTGATAAATCTGTTAGTTCTTGTCCTGCTTTGGACAATAGTCAACCCCCTCTTTTCTCTATCAGCCCCTCAAATATTGACTGCTATTATGTCACCCGTATTCCTTCTTTCTGTTAGACTAGATATATACAGTTCCTGCAACTGTTCATCTTATGTTTTACCTTCCAATCCCCTAATCATCTTTGTTGCTCTTCTCTGCACTCTTTATAGAATCTCAACATCTTTTTCTGTATCATAGTGACCAAAACTGGATGCAATATTCAGTGCAGTCTTGCCAGCGCAATATAATGCAGTACTAACACTTCATGTGACCTTGATATTATCTCTCTGTTGATGCAGACTAGGACTGCATTGGCTTTTTCTATAGCTGCAGCACACTGGTAGCTGATATTTTTTTTTTTTAATTTGATTTATATGCCGCCCTTCTCTGGAGACTCAGGGCGGCTTACAATGCGTTAAGCAATAGCCTTCATATTTTTGTATATTTTTACAAAGTCAGCTAATTGCCCCCACAAACTGGGTCCTCAATTTACCTACCTTAGAAAGGATGGAAGGCTGAGTCAACCTTGAGCCTGACAAGATTCAAACTTACTAATTGCAGACAGCTGGAGTTAAATTACAATGCATTAGTCTGCTGAGCTATCCAGGCTCCTACTTAAGTGATTAACATCCACTAGGAGTCCTGGATCCCTCTCACAGTTACTGTTGTTGAGCCAAGTCAAAACTGGAGCCCTATGGGGCCAAAATGTTGATCTGAATGTTCACTTTCTTTTCCCTGTATCCTACGACAAGAAACTTTTAATATGTGGGAGAATGTATGGGGAATGCCCTTGGCAGTAAACTTACTTTGCATTAAAAATGGTCCATCCAGTCGCTTGTCCTCCTTGGTTGCTGCTTCTGTGAATGGCTCTCCAATCCCCTTAAAATCCTTCCTTCAAGCCCCTCTCCTTCCTCTCAGCCCGACGCCTTGGTGCAGCCCAGCTCCCAGGGTGAAGTGTCCTGGTGTTTTCTGAAAGGTTGGGCACCAATGTTTCCATGTTCCCCTGTGGCTTCTGGGGAGACTCAGCCTCCCAGTGTGTGGAGGGGAGGAAGAGGAGAGGACTTGGGGAGATCTGACTTCAGAGGAATTGTGGCTGGAGGGGCTCCCTCCGAGGGCTTGAACCATGTTAGGAGGAGATTAGTGGCATCTGAAAGATGGCTGACAGACCAGAGAGGCGTCCAGGTGGGCTTGGCCAATGGGCAGCCCTGTCCAGGTGGGCTTGCTTTGAGATGCAGCACCTGAATCTGCCTCTCTTACATGCCCAGATTCCCTTTCTGGTGACTGCTGCATCACTGTTTCTCTCTGCCCATGTAAGGGAACAGCCCTATCCATGGATGTTTTCAATTTTAATTTTAGCTCTTTTACCGGTTGCATAATCTGCACTGAAAAATAAGCTTTCCACTGTGTTTACAAACATCATTACAAAGAGATCAAGAGAGTTCTGTGATATATATTGAGAGATAAAAGATTCTCAGGTCAAGGAACAGGCCTGGGAGCTCCAATAACTGCCTGCAGAGCATTTTGGGGAAGAGAGATTGGTGTGCACAAGAGGCAGGTTGGTTGAGCTCCAAAGAGACTTGAGTTGTTGGAATAAAATGCCGCTGTTTACAATCGATCAAGCCAGTCCTGCTTCCTCTAGTTATTCCACTACATTCTCCCCTTTCCAATTTTCACTAGCACTGTTGATGTTACCTAGTTTGGGCAATGAAACATTTGCAAGAAAACCAGCAAGCTCAGTGTGACCACCAAGGACCCCTTATTTCAAACCTGAACTACAAACATTCTCCTTTATTGATGATTTTCCGTTTTTCTCCAAATTACATGGTTATATAAGGCAAGCAGTTTCCACAGAGCAGAAAACCTGGCAAGTAAAGGACTCAGAAGGAGAGGGGAGCAGCTGGGGAAAAGCCGTGTCTTTCCTCACCCCAAGGAGTCTTCCTGCATCTGGGGATTCCCCCCCCTCCTTAGCCTGATCCTTCCTCCTGGTTCCCTCCCCTTCTTGCAGTGTCCTTGCCCATCTAGTGCCCCTTGTGCACCCTTCCCTGCGAGGGGATCTCTGCAGCCCTGGCACACAGAAGTGGCTGGAGATCAGGAAGGGGAGTGGAAGAGCATGGAAACTGGGCTCCCAGCCCCTTTTCCCCCGCTTTCTGCCTCCTCTCTAGGCACAAAGGAAAAGCTCTCTTTTCTTTTAACCAGAGGTGGTATTCAGCAGGTTCTGACCAGTTCTGGAGAACCGGCAGCAGAAATTTTGAGTAGTTCGGAGAACCGGTAAATACCACCTCTGACTGGCCCCGCCCCCATCTATTCTCTGCCTCCCAGGAGGAAATGGGGATTTTGCAGTATCCTTCCCCTGGAGTGAGGTGAGAATGGAGATTTTACAGTATCGTTTCCCTGCCACACTCACCATGCCATGCCCGCAGAACCGGTAGTAAAAAAAATTTGAATCCCACAACTCCTTTTAACCCCTTTACTGAAGCAGCTGTGGTGAGGGGGTGACTGGAGTGAACAATACAAAATGCTCCAGCTGGGACCCTGTAAAAGACCATTACCCTCATCACCCTCTAGGAATAAGGCTTTTATTCTCGGTTTTGTGCATTTCTGTAGAGATGTAGTGATCTCTTACAAATAGTGTGACTCCAGCTCTTTTGTAAGGGCCTTTTCTTTTGAGGTTTGAATCTTTCCATCAGTACATTCCAGTCCTGAGTTTTATCCGACCAAGTTTCAGAAATTGCAACTATATCATACTCACCCTTATGTATTAGTTCTTCCATGTTCACCCCCTTTGTCCCCCAAACTTTTGAGCATAGGCATTTGAATCCTGTATGGCTAACCATGGCTATGCTTCCTGTATCTCCTACTTTATAGCTCAGTTTTTCTTCCTTCCTATCACTCACTCCCCTTCATTTTAGAACAGGAGAAGGAAGGCAGGAAATGGATCATCTACTCAGAATGAGTGATTTTCCATATTTTTGTGAGTCTATGGGAGCCAAAAGTCAGATGGTATCGAATAGCCCTTTTGCAGAGTATTAGTGAATCAGGGGTGAAATCCACAGGTTCTGACAGGTTCTGAAGAACCGGTAGTAGAAATTTTGAGCAGTTTGGAGAACTGGCAAATACCACCTCTGGCTGGTCCCAGAGTGGGGACGGAATGGGGATTTTGCAGTATCCTTCCCCTGGAGTGGAGTGGAAATGGAGATTTTGCAGTATCCTTCCCCTGCCATGCCCACCAAACCACGCCCACAGAACCAGTAGTAAAAAAATTTGAATTTCACCACTGGAGTGAATTATGCATTTCAATGCAATTTGTTAGTCAGAAGTGATGCCACCAGACTCCTCTTGACATACCCACAGGTGGGCTTCAGCAGGTTCTGACCAGTTCTGGAGAACCAGTAGCGGAAAATATGAGTGATTCGGAGAACCGGTAGTAAATATTCTGACTATCATCTATTCTCTGCCTCCCAAATCCCAGCTGATCAGGAGGAAATGGGGATTTTGCAGTAATCCTTCTCCTGCCATGCCCACCAGGCCATGCCACGCCCACCAAGCTTACACCCACAGAACTGGTAGTAAAAAAAAATTGAAACCCACTACTGGACATACCTTATAAGGTGAGATGTTGTTATTTGTATTTAGCAAATCGCAACATCCTTTGCCAGGGTGAAGATGTCCAAACTACATCTACAGGACTTTCTCGCCCATCTTCAATAGCCATGAATTCCTAATTTGCATTTAGAGGTGCAGATTAGCACATGCAACTATCTTTTTTTTTAATCTGGGCCCTTGTTTTGGGTCTTTTGGCCTTCCCTTGAGGGGGTGACAGCCTTTAGTGATCCCCGTGGCGCCCCAGTCGCCCCCTCCCTGCAGAGCTTCAGTGAAGGAGTTAAACGCAGAGAGCTTTTGCGACTAGAGAGGAGGCAAAAAAGGGGGGAAAGGGGGCTGGGAGCCAGTTTCAGGCCCCTCCTTGCCCCCCTTTCTGGTCTCCCAATGCTTCTTAAACCAGGGCTGCGGAGGGGCGCCAGGTGGGCGAGGATGCTGCAGGAGGGGGAGGGGACCAGGAGAGGGGAGGAGGGGGGATCCCCAGGTGCGGGAAGGGAGGAGGGATTCCTTGGGGGAGGGAAGGAGAGCGAGGTGGGGGTTTCCCCAGTTGCCCCCCTCCCCTTCCGACTCTCCGCCTTTCCTTGCAAGCTTTTCTGCTCCCGTGGGAACCGCTGCGCCGCCGCTTCTCCTCCTCCTCCTCCTCCTCGGTTGCTGCTTCTGCGAACGGCTCTCCGGTCCCTTTAAAATCCTCCCTCCGAGCCCTTCTCCTTCCCCGCAGCCCCACATTTGGTGCAGATCGGCTCCCAGGGTGAGACCGCCTGGTGTTGGGGAAGGTTGGGCATCGCCGTTCCCACGTTCCCCTGTGGCTGCTGGGGAGGATCCGCTTCCCAGGGTCTGGAGGGGAGGAAGAGGATCTGGACTGAGAGGGATCGTGGCTGGAGGGGCTCCCTCCGAGGGCGGGAACCCTGTTAGGAGGAGCCCAGTGGCATCTCAATGGCGGGTGATGGAGACCAGAGAGGCGTCCAGGTGGGCTTGGCCAATGGGCAGCCCTGTCCAGGTGGGCTTGCTTGGAGATGCAGCACCTGGATCTGCCTCTCTCACCTGCCCAGATTCCCTTTCTGGTGACTGCTGCATCCCTATTTATCTCCACCTCACTAACTGATCATCACCCATGGAAGTTTTCAATTTTAGTTTTAGCCCTTTTATGGGCTGTACAATCTACCCTGAAAAAGAAGCTTTCTGCTGTGTTTACAAACCGATGAGATGAGATGAAGGGGATTCTGTGATATACACAGGTAATCCTCGACTTACAACAGTTCATTTAGTGACATTTGTCAAGTTACACTGGTGTTGAAAAAAGTAACTTGTGGCCATTTTTTACCCTTATGACCATTGCAGCATTCCCACGGTCATGTGATTTACATTGGCAACTGGTTCATATTTATGACAGTTGTAGTGTCCTGGGGTCATGTGATTCCTTTTTGCAACCTTCTGACAAGTAAAGTCAGTGGGGAAACCCAGATTCACTTAACTGTGTTACTAATTTAACAATGTCTACATGGCTCAGGGCCAGGCTATCTTCGAGACCACCTTCTACCACATAGCTCCCAGCGACCGGTAAGATCCCACAGAGTTGGTCTCCTCCGGGTCCCATCAGCTAAATAATGCCGGCTGGCGGGCCCGCGGGAGAGGGCCTTCTCTGTGGCTGCCCCAGCTCTCTGAAACCAGTTACTTCCTTAGGTCCGGACTATCCCCACCCTATTGGCCTTCCGGAAAGCAGTGAAGACCTAGCTTTTCCGGCAAGCCTGGGGCCATTGATCTCACTGTTGCAATCTTGCGAGATCCGGCCATGAATGATGTGCATGGGCTTTTAATATTTTTAAAATGTTTTTATAATGTTTTTAAATAATTTTTTTATGTTCATTGTTCGCATTAGTTTTGCTGTAAGCCGCCCAGAGTCCCTTGGAAGTTGGGCGGCATAGAAATGTGACAAATTAAATTAAATTAAATTAAAATGGCAGTGATTCACTTAAAGTTGTAAAATGGGGCAAAGCTCACTTAACAAATTTCTCACTTAGCAACATACATTTTGGACTCAGTTATGGTGGTAAATTGAGGATTAACTGTATTTAGAAAGATAAGCGAATTTCAGGTCAAGTGACAGGCCTGGAAGCTCTAGTACAGTGATGGCTAACCTTTTTGCCATTGCGTGCCAAAAGCAGAAGGAGTGTGGGAGGGTCATGTGCGTGTGTGCCCACACCCATAATTCAATGTGCCCTGCCCCCCGTACTCCCTTTTGGCATGTGATGGCCCTGTGAGCCCGGTAGGCCTGTTTTTCGCCCTCCCCAGGCTCCAGAGGCTTTCTAGGAGCCTGGGGAGGGCAAAAACAGCCTTCCCTATCCTCCCAAAGGCCCTCCAGAGGCCAGAAACAGCCCATTTCCCAACTTCCAGGGGCCTGAAAATCAGCTGGCTGGCACATACATGTTTACTGGAGCTCAGGTAGGGCAATGCTCATGTGCCCACTGATATGGCTCTGCGTGCCACCTGTGGCACACGTGCCGTTGGTTTGCCATCACGGCTCTAGTATCTGCCTGCAGAGCATTTTGGGGAACAGAGACTGGTGTGCAGAAAGGCCAGGTTGGTGGGCTCCAGAGAGCTTCAAATTGTTGGAATAAAATGCCACATGGTGCATTTCTGTTCATATCCTATCCAGCTTCCTCTAGTTATTGCATTACATTCTCCCCTTGCCAATTTTCAGTTTTTCTCCAAATTCCATGTCTTTATCAGGTGGAGAATTTCCCTGAGTTTCATAGCTTTCCCTTTCTGTAAATATTATTTTAAGTATTTTAACATAAAGTAAATATCGAGGCACTTCAGAGCCTACTAACTTCAGGTCGGAACATGGATGATGGTATTTTGGGCTTTTTTAAAGGGTAGGGCAAGGTCCATTTTCCCGAGGCGCTTTGAAAGGATAAATCAGTGCCTGGATCAATCATTTTTAATGCAAAACTGTTCAGTAAGTTTAATGCCAAGGGCATTCCCCACACATGTTCCCACATATTGAAGTACTGTTAAAAATAATTTTTAAAAACTTCCTTGGTGTAGGGATACAGGGAAAAGAAAATATGAACATTCAGATTAACATTTGAAAAAGGATCTTGACTTTGACTCTGGCTGAACAGCAGGAATTGTGCTGTGAGGGATCTAGGAATTTTAGTGGACAAACCCTCTTATGTATCCGCTACCAGTGTGCTGCAGCTGCAGAAAAAGCCAATACAGTCCTAGTCTGCATCAGCAGAGGGATAGTATCAAGATTGCAAGAAGTATTAGTACTGTGTTATACTGTACTGGTAAGACTACACCAGTTTAGGTTTCATCACCATGAGAAAACCCAGATGTTGAAACAAGAGTGCAGAGAAGAGCAACAATGATGTTAAGGGGACTTAAGGGAGGCTAAACCATACAATGAATGATTGCAGGACATGTCCAGTCTAACACAGAGAAGAAGTAAGGATGACCTGACAGCTTCCATGGCTTGCCTCCAGAAGTTGAGGGTGGTCCATTTGGAGGTTTTTAAAGAGGAGATTCGACAGCCATTTGTCTGAAACAGTAGGGTCTCCTCAGTGGTGGGATTCCAGTAATTTAACAACCGGTTCTCTGCCCTAATGATTTCTTCCAACAACCAGTTTGCCAAACTGCTCAGAAAGTTAACAACCGGCTCTCCCGAAGTGGTGAGAACTGGCTGAATCCCACCACTGGGTCTCCTGCTTGGAGAGTTGGTCTCTCCCACCTCCGGGAATTAAAAACTTGGCTTTTCAAATCCCTTGACCTGGTCTGATGATGGGGTTTTAAGGGTTTTAATGGGTTAATTTTAAATTTTTTAGATTTTAGTCTTTATTTTTATTGTGGCTTGTGTTTTATTGTTGTGAGCCGCCCTGAGTCCATTGTGAGATAGGGCGGCATATAAGCCAAATAAATAAATAAATAAATAAATAAATAAATAATTCTGTAAGACCTTCATAAACCTTTAGGACTCAGCACACAGCTAATCTTCACAAGCTAAGTAGCATCACATTTCACTATTTCACATGGATTAGTTGCAAAGGTCGGTTTCTAGGAGTCGAAAACGACTTGATAGCATTTAGCCAGTGAAAACATCTTAGGTAGGGTTGGGACTTAGACTCAGAATAACTTTATTGTCATTTTGAACGTACACTAATCAGCATACATTAAAATGAAATTTCATGGCATACAGCTCTCAAAGGATCACCCCCTCCAATATACACTACATAAACATGACAAAATAAATAAATACAAAATTATGCCTATACCCACATATAAAAGTGTTCTTTTGCCTCTTATGGGGAGATGGCGGTCAGATAGGCAGCATCAGTGACTAGAACCCCTCAGTACAGTAGAGGCATCTGTGGTTGAGCTTTAAGGGGTTAAAACCATCGAAAGATGGCTAGAAAGGCTGGGAGGAGAGGAGAGGAGAGGCGCAGAGGAACTTCCTCTTCTGGATGACTGATGGGAGGAAGTTGGTGTGCAGAGCGGCTCCTGTGCTCTTCCCAGGGTCGAAGCAGCAGCTGGCAGGTGAGTGGAGGGCAGCAGGTGGGAGGAGAGTCCGGGAGCAACTTGGGCTGGAAGCGGAGAAGCAACTGGGCTGAAGCCTCTGAGCTGCGGCTGCTGCAGGTTCCTTCCCTCCCCAAATGGAAGCCCACTGGTGCTGCAGGCTGGGAAACTGGGGGCTGCAATTTCTGCTGGTGGGAAGCTTGAAAAAGCCTCTTTCAAGTGGAGGTTGGTTCTTTGGGAATGGCTTCCCTCCAGAGGTTGTGGCTGCTCCGTCCCTGGAGGGTTTTGAGGGGAGATTGGGCAGCCATTTGTTCTGGATGGAATAGGGTCTCCTGCCTGAACAGGGGATGGACTAGAAGACCACCAAGGTCCCTTTTAATTTTCTTATTCTGTATGTACCTGCTGTGGTGTTGTTGCTTTTTTTTACTTCCATGTCTAGCCAACAAGCACACTATTTCCTATTGGTGCCCCATTCCATGAATTAACCAGGTTAAACTAAAAAAAAAAAATAGCGATTGACAACCTTCTGGGATGTTTAGTTGTATATCTACTCCTTGCTTGCCATTTGTTTCATGAGATTTCAAAGTTACACAGATGCACACCTGGTCCACAAATTTGTGGTTAATTTGTGTTATTGGCCCTATGGTTATGTAGGAAGTTAAAACCCACCCCTCTCCTAGAAAATGAAATATTTTAGGAAATATTAAAAGGGCAGAATATTTCCCTAAAAATGGAGGCAGAAACTCAGCCCCCCCCCTTTGTTAATGGGCCATTAAGGCCTGGACCAGTCTATTCTACGAAACAAAGATCTACCTCCTTCAGGCAGAGCCATTTAATTGTCCTTCATTGCATCACCCAGCAAGATTCAACCAAACTTAGCACAGACAATCTAAAAAGCTAGTTATGACCTCTGACAGCAACCAATCAGGATACTCTTCCTGTGCTCCAGGAAGTTCAAGGCCAGAGAGGCTATAAAACCCAGGGAGTCTCTGCATCTCTTCCCTTTTTTTTGCCCAAGATCTCCAAGGCATGTGATCACCAATAATTTTTCTTTCCAAGCAACTTCCATGAATCCAGTGTCTATTTCCCCACTTGGAACTGAACCCAGAAAGATATTTCTTCCAACAGTTATGAAAGTGCAGGAAAAGGAGTTGCACCAATTCAGGTGTTACCAACCACTGCACTTTTAGGATGGTTGCATCCCACACTCATGATCCCTATTTGTGACCTTCTCAGCTAGCTTCTGAAAAGCAGGATCAGTGGGGATGTCGGCAGGAAGTTGCAAGTGCATGGCCTTTAACAACCCACAGGGATTTGCTTAACAACTGCAGAGGGACAAATGTAAGTTGGTACATCATGCTTAATGATCAGGCTGCTTAGTGACACAGATGCCAGTCCCAAATGCAGTCACTTAAATGAGGACTACTTGAATTGGGATATCACCAGAGTGCTTGTGGAAAATATATTCTGCCCTTACTTGGAGCTGATCACTTTCTTTGCTTTGTCACATGTGCACCATAAATTATAAACTCTTCTTTATATATCCAAATTTCATTGCCTTTATATCATTCTCTAACCCTATCATACCAGAAATAGTCGTGCCATCAAAATCTTAATTCATGGCCCTCTAGCTCAGGTAAAGGTAAAGGTTCCCCTCGCACATATGTGCTGACTCTAGGAGGTGGTGCTCATCTCCGTTTCAAAATCAAAGAGCCAGCGCTGTCCAAAGACGTCTCCGTGGTCATGTGGCCAGCATGACTAAACACCAAAGGTGCATTGAACGCTGTTACCTTCCCACCAAAGGTGGTCCCTATTTTTCTACTTGCATTTTTTACGTGCTTTCGAACTGCTAGGTTGGCAGAAGCTGGGACAAGTAACAGGAGCTCACCCCATTATGTGGCACTAGAGATTCCAACTGCTGAACTGCCAAGCTTTCGATTGACGAGCTCAGCCTCTTACCCACTGAGCCACTCTTTTTGCCAGACAAAACAACAAGCATCAAAATACAATTTCAAATCTGGTAAACCCAACCTCCTCTTTCCTTAGCATCTTGCAATAATTTATATTTAATTCTTGGTTTTTTCCCCTTGCAATATAAACTTAGAGATCTCCATCTGCCATTGTTTAAATGGAGTATCACTTACTAGTATTGGTAAAGTCTGAAACCAAAAATGCATCTTTGGTTATTAGGGTGCTGGAGGATAAAACATACAAAGAATGGTTACAGGAATTGGGTGTGTCTAGTCTAGTCTAATGAAAAGGACTAGCAGAGACATGATAGCAGTGTTCCAATAGAAGAAACATTGGATGGAAACTAAGGAGAGAAGCAACCTTGAACTAAAGAGAAAATTCCTAATTATTAGAGCAAGTTTGTCAAACTTGTGGCCCACGGGCCAGATGCGTCATGTGCTGGCCAAGCCCACGTCTGGTTTAGCGAAAGGGGGAAAAGTCTCAATACATCACATGACGTCATGACAACACGAGTTTGACACCCCTGGATTAGAGGAATCAACAAAAGGAATAGCTTGCATTCAGAAGTTGTGTGTGTTCCATCACTGGAGGATTTCAAAAAGAGACTAAACAGCCACTTGTCTGAAATGATATAGAGCAGTGATGGCAAACCTTTTTGGCATTGCATGCCGAAAGTCTGAGTGCACGAGAGCTGTCGTGCTCCTGCATGCTGGCACCATAATGTAATGCGCCCCCCATTTGCGCATGTGCACATATATCCCCCCCTTTTTCCAAGAGGGCCAGCATGCCTCTTACCAGAGGACAACTAGGTACCAGCCCGTTCCCTGGCGAGACAGATTTTCCCCGGCCGGCGCACGGTGCTGCCGAGATGGTGGGGCTGAGAGCACCACCGGGGAAGCTCCGAACGTGTGGCTTGCCTGGGCTCCTTCCTGCTGGGAGCCGCTGTTCCCTGGCTGATGGCCGCGCTCTCGGCACTGCCGGGGAAGCTTTGAACGGGTGGCTTGCCTGGGCTCCTTCCCGCTGGGAGCTGCAGATAGGGACGGGGATTGGCTGCGCCCGCCACCACCTAAGCAGAAAGCCCAAAGAGGGGCATCCCAGACATGCGTGCTGCTCTCGGCACTTCCCCGACACCTGCCTGCTGCCACTGCTTCTGCACCTTGCCTGCTTCCCCAGCTGCTCTTCTCTAACACACCTCTGGGTGTTTTGCTGCGCACTGAAGACCCTGTTGTTCCGCCAGGCCGGGCTATCAACATAATAATTTTAAATTGGGGTATTTTAAATTTTCAGGGTTTTAAACCGGGCCAAATCTATTTAATTATTTTAATTTTTAATCATTATTTTGTCTTGTGTTTTAAATTGGCTGTACACCGCCCTGAGTCCTTCGGGAGAAGGGCAGTATAGAAATAAAATAATAATAATAATAATAATAATAATTATTATTATTATTATTATTATTATTATTATTATTATTATTATTATTATTATTATTATTATTATTATTATTATTATTTTTGAGCGCTTGGCCGGGAAAAACAGGAGCCGCCGCTTTCCCCATGTTCGGCCCCGCAGATCTGCTCAGCTCAAGTTCATGGAAATCATATGGCGGCCCTTGAAACTTCAGGAGGGAACTGACTGCGAGACCGAGAGGTGGCATTTGGCGGAGCCAGCCCGATGGGAAACTGAAAAGAGTGGGGCTTTTCACTTCTGCCGCCCTGCTCGTGGGCTGTGGAGTTTGGGGTGGCTCTAGAGCTGGAATTCGCTTGGCTGATTATCGGGCAACTCCAAAGCTTCCTGCTAAAAGTGTTCATTCTCTCACCCATCTTCTTTCCCTGTTTAAAAGGGCCGCGCTTGTAGGGGGGAGAGATCTGACTAAAGAGCTGTGCTTGTGGAGAACAGGAGGCGGAAACCGGGAACAAATCCTCCCCACTGTGAGCTCAGCTGATGATCAGGCAACTCACAAATTTCCTGCTAAATGTATTCATTCTCTCCTGCCTTCTGTTCTCTGCAGCTGGGGAAGCAGGCAAGGCGCAGGGGCGGCAGGTAGGTGTCGGAGAAGCGCCAAGGGCAGCACGCAAGTCCGTGATGCTCCTCTTTGGGCTTTCCACTTAGGTGGTGGGCACAGCCAGTCCCCGTCCCCACCTGCTTGACCTGCAGTTCCCAGCGGGAAGGAGTCCAGGCAAGCCGCGCGTTTAAAGCTTCCCCGGCGGGACCAAGAGTGTGGCCATCAGCCAGGGAACGGTGGCTCATAGAGGTAAGGAGCCCAGGTAAGCCGCGTGTTCAGAGCTTCCCTGGTAGGCACATGGCAAGCCGGGAAAGGGTGGCTCCCAGCGGGGGTGGAGACCAGCCACAGGGTCGTCTGCGCAGGCAGCCCACCACCCTGCCCACACTGGCTCCTGGTCCAGACCACCTGGAGCCATGCAAGAAGCCTGGGTAGGGAGGGAGGGAAGCCCTGGTTTAGAAGCAACCACCAGGATTGCCTCTCCGCGTCTTTTGGCATGCGCACCTGTTGCTGGTTTTAGCGCACGCATGCGCGCCAGGAACCAGACCAATTGGCCAGTATGCATGTGCACTCTGGAAACAGGAAGATCATCCTCCTGGAGTGCGCATGCGCAATGGGTGGCTGCTCTTCCGGTTTCTGGCCTGCCTATGTGCATGAAACCCAGCTGGCCAGCGCACTGGAACCTGGAAGAGCAACAGGCGATGGCTCTGCATGCCACTTCCGACACGTGTCCCATAGGTTTGCCATCACGGATATAGGGTCTCCTGCTTGAGCAGGGGGTTGGACCAGAAGACCTTCAAGGTCCCTTCCAGCTCTCTTATTCTATGTTCTATTCATCTTAATTACAGATAATTGCCATACTAAGACTTTGTGATTGATTCAAGTTAAAAAGAGAATTTCATGATTGAATGGCTACGTGAACTTGGATCTCGGTAATCTTCAGTGTGTCAAATGAATCGTAACTAATATAAGAGGCTATTCTAGGATTGTGGCATGTTTGCTTTTTACCTGTAATGTATATATTTTTTCCTTTTTTGACATCTTATGCAATCATTTTATAAATAATTAAACTAACACTTTTACTTGAATCTTACAGGCAAAGAATAAGAGCAGTCTGGAAAACAGAATAACAAGCAACTTTGAAAAGGAAAACAAATCAAGCCAGACATCAAAATATTTTCCATTTCCTCCAGAAACCACACAATTCTTCTCCTTCCCCAGTAGGTGAGAGACAAAGGAGAGAAAATTAAGGGGAGATTTCAAGCTGGAAAATGTGGAGTATGCGGAACTCAAGGATACATTTCATGAAAAGTCAAGGGAGATTATTTTTTCATTCAGAAAAACGGCAATGTCTGGAAGTCAGTAGGGAGGAAAAGGTCAATTGAACAGCCACATAGGGCAGACAGTAATGCAGATTTCGCCCTGTGAGGAAGGGAACAGTAGCTGCAATAAAAGCACCACTAAACAAGGTATCACGCATGGTGGAAAAGCTCCACCGATATGCATATTGTGGGGAAAGTACAGACTTCAAGTCATGGCTGATTATGCAGGAAATGATTCACATTGGAGAAAAGCTATACAAACACTCTGAATGTGGCAAAAACTTGGATCAAAACAGCTCCCTCGTGCTTGATGGAAGGACTCATACAGGAATGGAGCTTTAGCATGCAAGTCAACTTGGTGAAACACCAGAGGATTTATATCGGGCAGAAATCATATAAGTGTCTAAATTGTGGGAAAAGTTTCAGTCAGAATTCCAACCTGGTGAACCACCAGAGGACTCACACAGTAAAGAAATCATATGTATGTCCAGATTGTGACAAAGGTTTCATTAGAAAATTTCACCTCACAAGACACCAGAGGACACACACAGGAGATAAACCCTTTGAATGTCCTGATTGTTGGAAATGTTTCAGTCGAAATTATGACTTGGTGATACACCAAAGGACGCACACAGGAGAGAAACTGTATGAGTGCCCAGATTGTGGGAAAAGTTTCATTCAAAAATCCCATCTAGTGAATCACCAAAGGATTCACTCAGGAGAGAAACCGTATGAGTGTCCAGATTGTGGTAAAAGTTTCAGTCAAAAATCCCACTTAGTGAATCATCTGAGGACTCACATAGGAGAAAAATCATTTGAATGTCCTGATTGTGGGAAAAGTTTCATTAGAAAATTCCATCTAACAAGACACCTAAGGTCACACACAGGAGACAAGCCCTTTGAATGTCCTGATTGTGGGAAAAGTTTCAGTCACAATTCCAGCCTCATGAAACATCAGAGCACTCACACAGGAGAGAAACCCTTTGAATGTCCTGATTGTGGGAAAAGTTATAGTCAGAATTCTGACCTGGTAATACACCAGAGAACTCACACAGGAGAAAAACTGCACCAGTGCCCAGATTGTGGGAAAAGTTTCAGTTACAAATCCCATCTAGTGAATCACCAGAGGACTCACACAGGAGAGAAACCATATGAGTGTCTGGATTGTGGGAAAAGTTTCAGTCAGAATTCCCACCTGGTGAACCACCAGAGAACTCATACAGGAGAGAAACTGCATGAGTGCCAAGATTGTGGGAAAAGTTTCAGTCACAAATCCCACCTAGTGAATCACCAGAGGACTCATACAGGAGAGAAACCATATGAGTGCCCAGATTGTGGCAAAAGTTTCGCTCAGAACTCCAACCTGGTGAACCACCAGAGGATTCACACAGGAGAGAAACACTATGAGTGTCCTGATTGTGGGAAACGTTTCAGTCACAGTTCCAGCCTGGTCATACACCAGAGGTCTCACACAGGAGAAAAACCTTTTGAATGTCCTATTTGTGGGAAAAGTTTCAGTCGATACTACAGCCTGGTGAACCACCAGAGGACTCACACAGGAGAGAGACCGTATCAGTGTCCTGATTGTGGGAAAAGCTTCAGTCACAATTCCAGCCTGGTGAAACACCAAAGGACTCACAAAGGAGAGAAATTGTATCAATGTCCTGATTGTGGGAAAAATTTTAGTCACAATTCCAGCCTGGTGATACACCAGACAACTCACAAAGAAGACAAATCCTTTGGATGTCCTGATTGTGGGAAAAGTTTCAGTCAGAATTCCAGCCTGGTGAAACATCAAAGGATTCACACAGGAGAGAAACCTTTTGAGTGTCCTGATTGTGCGAAAAGTTTCAGTCAGAATTCCTGCCTGGTGAAACACCAGAGGACTCATACAGGAGAAAAACCTTTTCAGTGTGTTGATTGTGGGAAATATTTCAGTCTCAATTCTAGCCTGGTAATACACCAGAGGATTCACACAGGAGAGAAACCTTTTGAATGTCCTATTTGTGGAAAAAGTTTCAGTCAGTACTGCAGCCTGGTGATACACCAGAGGACACACACAGGAGAGAAACCCTTTGAATGTCTTGAATGTGGGAAAAGTTTTAGTCAGAATTTCAACCTGGTGAAACACCAGAGGATACACACAGGAGAGAAACCCTTTGAATGTCCTGATTGTGGGAAACGTTTTAGTGTGAATTCTAGCCTGGTGATGCACCAGAGGACTCACTCAGGAGAGAAACCATTTGAATGTCCTGTTTGTGGGAAAGGTTTTAGTCAGAATTCCAACCTGATGAAACACCAGAGGACACACACAGGAGAGAAACCCTTTGAGTGTCCTGATTGTGGGAAACGTTTTAGTGTGAATTCTAGCCTGGTGAAACATCAGAGGACTCACACAGGAGAGAAACCCTTTGAATGTCCTGATTGTGGGAAAAGTTTCATTAAAAATTTCCACCTCGCGAGACACCAGACGACTCACACGAGAGAAATCTTTCAGATGTCCTCTCTGTGAACAATGCTTCAGGCATAAATCATCTCTTATTGCCCACAAGGAAATCCACTTGAATCAAAAGTTGATGAGTTTAGAGAAGGCTTGAATTTCACTTCTGAACTCTCATTAGAAATGTAGGTCAGGAATGTACTATTTGAATTCTGGCCTAATGCTTTTTAGTCAAATACATCTCAGCAGTAGACTTGTAGGTGAATAGAAAAAAATCTTAGTTCAATAAAGTCTAACTACCTGTTTCCGTTTATCAGCAGAAGTTTCTGAATAGTTCCTTTGCAGAAGTTGTGGAATTCCTCATAAAGGTTTTTAGGTGATGTTTTTTGTATATTGATCATGGAATTCCAACATATGGAGTTCTGTTTCTACTTTGGTGTCCTCCAGATTTTGAGCCCCATAATACCCCAGCCACTGTAGAAGTAATCCTCGAGATATAACTGTAATGTGCCATGGTGATGCAATGGTTAGCATGCAGTACTTCAAGCTGCCTGCAATTTGGCAGTTCGAAGCTTAGCCTTCCATCCTTCCGTCAAGGTTGACTCAACCTTCCATCCTTCCAAGGTGGATAAAATGAGAACCCAAATTGTTAGGGGCAAGATGCTGACTCTGTAAAACACTGTAAAGTGGTATATAAGTCTAAGTGCTATTGCTGTTGCTAATGGGGTCTGCCAATTACAGTTGAATGTTGCAATGGTTGTTAAGCGAGAGTACCTTGCTTAACTACTTCCACCCCCTACTCCCTAATGAAACCATTAGATAAATGTGCATGTTGTTAAGCAGAACAGTAACTGTCTCAGGGCTGGGGGAATCTCTTGGAGGCCTAGACTCCCCAACCCCAACTGTTGGGTCTTTGCCTAAGATTCATCCCTGGGCCATGTGGTGGACTAGTGGAACCAACTGCCATTTTGCCATGCCTGCCTGTGTGTCAAAATGGTGGCTGCTTCTGGGTCACTGTTGCGTGGGAGTGGGACAAACTATTCTATTTTGCTGCCTTAACATTTTGTAAACCATGTTAAGAAATTGTGGGTGGCTGCCTCCTACAGATCTCCAAAAGGGCAGGCCATGTATCCCAGTGGCACATGATAGACAAAATAAAATAAATAAAAATATACAAAAGTATGAAGGCTATTGCGTAGCGCATTGTAAGCCACAGATTTACCTATATTATCCCCCCCCCACTAGAATATTCATAAATATATTGGAGCAATATTATTTGCTCCTTTTCCGAAGCAGGCCCCAAATTTATAAACTTCTACTTCTATTTACAACCAATTCGACGTTCATCTATCTACAATATATAAACGCAATGTAATAGGTGAACAAACAACAAAGTTAAACATCAAAGCACTTTGTTAATAATCTACTATTGTATTTAACTTGTATAAAGTTTAGAACATCTTATTTACCACAAATCACCACAATCATTGTCTCTGATCTGTGAGGGATGAAATATCTTTTTTTGATTCTTATTAATAAAACTTTTTCTTAAGATTTTAGTTCAGAACAACAGGACAACAATTGTGTCTTATTCCCCCAAATCATAAAACCTCTTGGTCGATCCATTTTCCAAATTGTTTTTCAGTTAGATATAGTAGGTCCATTTCCCAATCTTCTTAAGAAAGTCCAATTCATCACGCATCGAGTCTGTTAATCTGTAGTCTCCACATCCGCTTCAGCCTCCTCCCAACCATCCTGCAGTTTCCAAACCAGTGGTGAGTGTGGCTTGGTGGGCGTGGCAGGGGAAAGTTACCGCAAAATCCCCATTTCCTCCCAATTAGCTGGGACTCGGGAGGCAGAGAATAGATGGGGGCAGGGTCAGTAAGAGGTGGTATTTACCGGTTCTCCAAACTACTCAAAATTTCTGCAACCGGTTCTCCAGAACTGGTCAGAACCTGCTGAATACTACCTCTGTTCCAAACCATAGTGAGGGGGCTTTTAAGAAGTGGCAGTGCTGCCCATGGGAGCTTCTTGGGAAAAGCTCAGGCTCACAAAGGAATTCATTTGGGAAAGAGCCATTCATTTGTGTGCACTCATAATCCCAAATTCCTCCATCAGTCCCAGAGGAAGGGGATCTCCCAGAGCAGAAATGTTTTTTTCTCACCACGATCCTTCACATAATTTTGGGTAATCCACCAGCTGGATATGGCAATGATTATTTCCTCCCCGTGATGTTTCCAGCAAATGACATCCAGTGCACATGGCTTTTTCCTCTGGGTGTAATAGTGATAATCCTCTGTTAGGGAATTGTGCAGCAGGTTGCCAAATAAACTCAGAGACGTTTATTATATTTACAGCAAACAAGATGGTCAGGAACATCCTGAGGTAAATCCAAATAGCATACAGAGCACACAGAAGAAAAAAGTGGGGAAAATGGGAAACACCCCCCCCCCTTTACACCTACAAGAACCAATCATAGCATAGATTGCCTCATACAGGAGCCAGCACTCAACAACTGCTCTATTCTTGCTCATTGTACAATTTTACTGTTTCAATTTGGTTTAAACCAAATTGTTTCACAAGATCTTTGTTTTTGTATACTTAATGGTTTTGTCATGAGGTCAGCTAAATTATTTTCTGGTGGACAATAAATTATAATTTATAATATATAATAATAATAATTTATATATAATAAATATATATCTATTACATTTTCTTTTCCTGCTTCTCTAACAAGGCATACGCTCCTTGTAATATCTTTATTCCTACTCAGATGAACTATTGCAGGAACTGGATATGTCTAGTCTAACATAGAGAAGGATTAGGGATGACATCATAGCAGTCTTTAAATATCTGAGGGTCTGACACAGAAAAAAGGCGGTGGATCTATTGTCCAATGTGCCTGAGAGCAGGACAAGAAGGAGCAGAGGGAGACATATCAGAAAGGGATCCAACCTAGAATCAAGGAGAAATTTCCTTTCAGTGAGAATCAGTGGAAACTCTTTGCCTCTAGAACAGTGGTTCTCAACCTTCCTAATGCCGCGACCCTTTAATACAGTTCCTCATGTTGTGGTGACCCCCAACCATAAAATTATTCCTAAAACCATTGAAAATATGTGTTTTCCGATGGTCTTAGGCGACCCACAGGTTGAGAACCACTGTTTTAGAAGTTGTGGGTGATCCATCAATTGGGTTTTTAAAGAGGAGTTTGGACAGCCATTTGTCTGACCGGTACTATAGGATCTCCTGCTTGGAGAGTTGGTCTCTTCCAACCCTTCTTATGTAATTCTGTAAGAGCTTCATAAACATTTAGGACTCAGCACATTCCTAACCTTCACAAGGTATTTAGTGTCACATTTCACATGGCTCAGTTGCAAAGGCGGGTTGCTAGGAATAGAAAACGACTTGATAGCATTTAATCAGTGAAAACCTCCTACAAACACATTAGAGACAGAACAAGCGTGTTCTTCTGCCCCCTATCGGGAGATGGCACTCACATATCAGTGACTAGAAAGCCCTTAATAGGCATACGTGGTTGAGCTTAAAGGAGTTAAAACCATCGAGTACAGCATTGCTAGAAAGGATGGGAGGAGAGGAACTTCTTCCGGCTCACTCATGGGAGGAAGCTGGAGTGCAGAGTGGCTTTTCTGCTCTTCCCAGGGTCGAAACACATCTGGCAGGTGAGTGGAGGGCAGATCGTAGGAGAAGCTGGGAGCAAGTAGGGCTGTTTGCTTTCTTCCCAGATGTGGAAGCAGAGAAGCAACTAGGCTGAAGCATATCAGCTGCTGCTACATGTTCCTTCCCTCCCCGAAGTTTGAGTCCTCTGGTGCTGCATGCTTTAACGCTGGTGGCCGCAATTTTCTGCTGGTGGGAAGATTTTAAAAAGTCTCCTTCAAGTTAAAATTAACAGCTTGCCTCCAAAAGTTGTGAGTTCTTCATCACCGAAGGATTTCAAGAGGAGACAGGACAGCAATTAATCAGGAACAATATAAAGTCTCCTGCCTGAGCAGGGATTGGACTAGACGACCTCCAAGGTCCCTCCCAACTCTGTTATTCTGTTATGGACCTGCTGTTTTCTTGACAACAATATCGGACTGATCTTCAACTGCTCTCTTCTGAGATTTTTTTTTATTATTATTGTTATTATTTCTATGTCTAGCCAACAAGCACAGTATTTCCTATTTGTGCCCATCTATGTATTAATCAGGTTCAACCGTGCTTAACCTAGCACTGTGTAATAAAAAAAAAAGCTATCAAGGACCTTTTGAGATGTTCAGTTGACTAAGTAGTCATCACTTATCACTTGTTCGCCTTTAAAGTTACTATGGCACTGTATAAGCAGTGACTGATGCCAGTCCCAATTGTGCTCAATAAGGGAGAACTACTTGATAGCAGTACTCCAGTATTTGAGGGGGGTCAACCAGGGGTGAAATGCTCCCAGTTCGGACTCGCTTGGTGGGAGTAGGTAGCGATGGCGGTGGGCGGTTTAGAGAACTGGTAGCAAAAATCCCTGCCCCCGCCCCCCCCCCATGCCAAGCTGAGCTGCCTGATCATCAGAGCCTTTTTTTTTCTTTTAAATGGCTCTGACAATCCAAGCTCTGCTGAGCCCAGCTGAGTTGCCTGCCAATCAGGCAACTCAGCTGGGATCGTCAGAGCCTTTTGAAACCATTTTTTTACATGGTTTTAAATGTAAAAAATGGTTTTAAAAGTAAAAAAAAAAATTGCCCACGCCCACCCAGTCACATTACCCTCCCCCCAAGCCACGCCCACAGAACCGGTAGTAACAAATTTTAGATTTCACCATTTTCCATATTGGCTTTATGGCCAATATCTCCACTTGGGTCTCATATGTCCAAGGGACAGTGTTCCAGAAGTCTTGTAATTTGTTCAGATGCAACTTTGCAAATCTAAGTGCTTCTGCCATATCCATTTTACAGAGAAGAGGCTTTCTCCTGTCAATCCTTCCAAACAAACCATACTCGTTCAGTCTTTTTCTAATTGTACTGTCATGAACTTTAACATTTAACATGCTAAAAGAGGCCTGTAGAGCCTGAGATGTAATGCTTGGATTTTTTGTAATTTCTCTGAGCATTGCACTATCTGAACTTGGGGTTGATTTGCTGGGACTTCCACTCCTGGGAAGATTGACAATTGCCTTCAATGTTTTCCACTTGTGAATGTGGAATGTAGAATGATGGAGTTTAAATTGTTTGGAAACAGTCTTATAACTCTTCCCCAGATAACAGAATAACAGAGTTGAATGGGACCTTGGAAATCTTCTAGTCCAGCCAACCCTCTGCTCACTTAGGAAACCTATACCATTTCAGACAAACGGTTGTCCAATATCTTCTTAAAAACTTCCAGTGTTGGAACATTCATATCCAAAAAGACTTGAGGCTGTAATTGCTGCCAAAGATGTTTCAACAAAATACTGAGTGAAGGGTCTGAATAGTTATGCCAAAGTGATGTTTCAGATTTTTCCTTTTAATAAATTTACAGACTTTTATAAACTTCTGTTTTCACTTAGTCATTATGGGGTACTGAGTGTCGATTAATGAGAAAAAAACGAATTTCAATAACTGTAGAATCAGGCTGCAGCATAACAAAATTGACAAAATGAAGTGGGTCTAAATACTTTCTGAATGTCCTGTAGAGTGCCAGAGACCAGGAAAGCCCTACAAATTCAGCTTTTATAGATGCAGTCACACGTGCTGATGTTAATTGATCAAGAACACTTGATCAGCAGCACTGGGCTTCTACTTAGCAACTTTCTTTTTGTTTAAAAAACTGATGACATGGGTGTAATATATCATATGTTGTTCATCTGAGGTTATATTTACCCATTTTTAAGAACTGCTAAGGACCAGTAGATGATTTCTACTATTTCGTGATGTGTAAAATCATAGAACTCAAAGAGGGTGTACTTTCTTTTTCACATAACTGTATTTGATGATAACCCTTTGCAGGGCTAAGAATTTGTGACTGACCCAAGTCAACAAGTGAATTTTATGATTGAATGGATAATGAAACTTGTATCCTGGTAGTCAAATGAGTCATAATTCATGTAAGATATTATTCTAGCATTGTGGCATGTTTGCTTTTTCATTGTAACGTATACTTCTTTTTCACATCTTCTGCAACCCTTTTACAAACAATAAAAGCTACATTTTCATTTGAATCTTACAGACAAAGAGGATGCCGATAAGACCACATTGGACAATTGAGAATAACAAGCAACACTGCAAAGCAGATTGAGGCAGAAATAAAAATATTCTCCATTTTCTTCAGAAAAACCACACAGTTCTTCTCCTTCCCCAGTAGGTGAAACAAAGGAAAGAAAATCAAGAAGTGATTTAGAGCTGGAAAAAGTAGAGTATGCGAAACTCAAATATACGTTACACAAAAAGGTCATTTTTCATTTCAGAAAAAGAGGGAAATATCTGGAAGTTAGTGGGGAGAAAAAGGTCAATTGGATAGTTACATAGGGCAGATAGTAATGCACGCCTTGCCCTGGAAGAAAGAAAAAGGGCTTAAATCGAAGCACCCCTAAATAAGGGATCACACATATTTTCGACCTTCTCAAGAACCCCAGTGGTGGGAAAGCTCCATAGATGTGCTTATTGTGAGAAAAGCAGTCTTCAAATCACAAGTGATTATGCAGGAGACAATCCACTCTGGAGACGAGCAGATACAAATGATCTGAATGTGGCAAAAGCTCAGATCACAAAAGGTCAGTTTTGGTTCATGGAAGGACCCACACAGGAGAGAGGCTCTACAAGTGTTCCCAATGTAGTAAATGCTTTAGTGAAACTGGCAACTTGGTGATGCATCCAAGGACTCACAGCAGGGAGAAGCTGTATAACTGTTTAGATTGTGGGAAACGTTTCAGTGGACATTCCCACCTCGTGAGACACCTGAGGACTCACACAGGGGAGAAACCCTTTGAATGTCCTGATTGTGGGAAACGTTTCAGTCAGAATTCCACCCTGGTGGAACACCACAGGACTCACACAGGAGAGAAACCCTTTGAATGTTCCGATTGTGGCAAACGTTTCAGTTGGAATTCCAATTTGGTTCAACACCAGAGGACTCATACAGGAGAGAAACCCTTTGAATGTTTTGATTGTGGCAAATGTTTCAGTTCGAATTCCCATTTGGTTAAACACCAGAGGACTCACACAGGAGAGAAACCCTTTGAATGTCCTGACTGTGGGAAACGTTTCACTCGGAATTCCAGCCTGGTGTTACACCAGAGGACTCACACAGGAGAGAAACCCTTTGAATGTCCTGTTTGTGGGAAACGTTACAATCAGAATTCCCACCTGTTGGAGCACCAGAGGACTCACACAGGAGAGAAACGCTTTGAATGTCCAGATTGTGGGAAACGTTTCAGTCAGAATTCCAGCCTGGTGAAACACCAGAGGATTCACACAGGGGAGAAACCCTTTGAATGTTCTGATTGTGGGAAATGTTTCAGTCAGAATTCAAGCCTGGTTATACACCAGAGGACTCACACAGGGGAGAAACTCTTTGAATGTCCTATTTGTGGGAAAAATTTCAGTTTGAATTCCGGTTTGGTTAACCACCAGAGGACTCACTCAGGAGAGAAACCCTTTGAATGTCCTGTTTGTGGGAAACGTTTCAATCGGAATTCTAGCCTGGTGAGACACCAGAGGATTCACACAGGGGAGAAACCCTTTGAATGTCCTGATTGTGGGAAATGTTTCAGTCAGAATTCCAGCCTGGTGGACCACCACAGGACTCACACAGGGGAGAAACCCTTTGAATGTCCTGATTGTGGGAAACGTTTCAGTCATAATTCCAGCCTGGTGCAACACCACAGGACTCACACAGGAGAGAAACCCTTGGAATGTCCTATTTGTGGGAAACGTTTCAGTCATAATTCCAGCCTGGTGGAACACCATAGGACTCACACAGGAGAGAAACTCTTTGAATGTCCTATTTGTGGGAAAAATTTCAGTTTCAATTCCGGTTTGGTTAACCACCAGAGGACTCACTCAGGAGAGAAACCCTTTGAATGTCCTGTTTGTGGGAAACGTTTCAGTCGGAATTCTAGCCAGGTGAGACACCAGAGGACTCACACAGGGGAGAAACTCTTTGAATGTCCTGATTGTGGGAAACGTTTCAGTCGGAATTCCAGCCTGGTGATACACCAGAGGACTCACACAGGAGAGAAACCCTTTGAATGTCCTTTTTGTGAGAAAAAATTCAGTGAGAATTCCAAATTGGTGAAACACCAGAGGACTCACAGATGAGAAACGATATGAATGTCTAGATTGTGGAAAAAGGTTCAGTCGGAATTCTGATCTACTGATCAGTGGTGAAATTCAATTTTTTTTACTACTGGTTCTGTGGGTGTAGCTTGGTGGGCATGGCTTGGTGGGCGTCACAGGGGAAGGATACTGCAAGGATATTGCAAAATCTCCATTCTGGGACTATCCAGAGTTGGGATCTGCTGGTTCTCCGAACTACTCAAAATTTCTGCTTCCGGTTCTCCAGAACCTGTCAGAACCTACTATTGATACACTAGAGGACTTATACAGAAGTGAAGCCATACAAGTGTCCAGAGTGTGGGAAAAGTTTCAGTCTGAATTCCAACCTAGTGATACACTAGAGAACTCACATAGGAGAAAAACCCTTTCTATGTCTGGATTGTGCAAAAACTCACCAATTTAACCATACAGATGACCTATAAGTAATGTAGGTTTACACACAGGAGAAAAAGTCAAGGACATCCACATTAGGCAAAAGTTGATGAGTTTAGAGAAGGCTTAAATTTCATTTCTGATCTGTCAATGGAAGTCTAGGTGAGAAATTGACTATTTAAGTTCCGGCCTGATTCATTTTACTGAAATATATCTCTGAAGTAGACTGTAATTGGAGAGAAAAAATGGAAAATATTAATTTGAAAAAGGTGTACTATCTGGGTTTTTTTTATCAAGCATTTCCCTCTCCACAGGATCCTTCCAAGCTTTGCCCTCTCCCACAGGGTCTCTATAGGCATTTCCCTCCCCAGGACCCCCACAGGTGTTTCCTTTCACATAAGGTCCCCACAGGTGTTTCCTTCTCCACAGAGTCCCCACAGGCCTTTTCCCCACCCACAGGGTCCCCAAAGGCTTTTTCCCTCTCCTGCTCTGTCCCCGCAGTCCTTAGGCCTGACTCCCACCCCACCAGGCCTCACAGCTTCCTCCTCTCCTTTGAAGATCTCTGACCATCAAGTTGGTGAAGAAGGCCAGGACACGCATCCCAGGGCCGGATGGCTATGTCCTGGATGCAGCCGTTATTTTCAATGTGCCCGGGATTCAACCCTGGGCCATGTGATGGACTTGTGGAAGCAGCTGCCATTTTGTCACACCTCCCTCGGCCAAAATGGCGGCTGCTTCTGAGTCATTGTTGTGTGGGAGAGGGAGAAACTGCTCTGTTTCGCTTCCTTAACACTGTGCAAACTGCATTATGGGATTGTGGGTGCACTGAAAATGAGGGCTGCCTCCAGGAGGAATATTGAGTTGAGGAGAAAAGGGATTGTGGCTTTGATGACAGGATCTAAAAGTTTTATTAGCAACTCCTGCTGTGATCTCATTTTCTTGGAGGTGCCTGCTTGTTTCCCTTTGATGGCTGCTGGGTGATAGCAGCACTCTGACATTTCTATTGTATCCCCTTGGTTGGTGGCGATATGAGGAACAAGTTGAACAGTGGAAAATCTTTCATTTGTAATAATGCATTGTGTAATGTAAGAAGTAGCAATATCTTTTGGCAAGGAAAAAATCGGGTGGCCTCAATGTTGCTATGAATGTTAGGGCAAGGCAAGGCACTCGGAATGGCCTCAAACTGCCAGATGTGCAGTAAATAATAATAAAACTAATAAAATTGTAACAGAAAGCCCTTTTCTCAATTCTTCTTCAGTGGGGAGTTCTCCACACATACATTGGGTTTCTAACACTACAATTGTTAATCTATCTGTAATCTGTCTCTTTTGCATTCTGCACTTCTATAACCAATCTGTTTTTTTCAGCTTCATTTCCCTCCTCATTATAAATTTAAATTTTCAGTTTCGGTAGAACCTCAATCCAGCCACTCTGCGCCTGATGTGAGCTGTAATTAGGCTTCTGCCTCTTAATTTGTTGCATTCCTATTTACCTCAGTCCTAAATTCTATGAAAGAATGACATTTCTTTATGCAGAGTTAAAAAATTAGAATGGCTAAACTGGATCTGTTTTGATTGGCCTTCTTCTCAGATTCAGCGATGGTCTTCTCCAGCATTGCCAGTCTGAGAGGTCAAAAATAGGACATTTCAAACTGGACAACTAAGGTTTCCTTTGTAACTTTACAACCCATAAAGCAGCCATTGGTTGTGCCAGTGAGTTTGTAGCTTTTGAAAATCATACAATTACAGAGGGTCTGTCTGACTTCCTTGATGATTCTTCCAGTTCTGAACTGGATCCAACAGACATTATGAACGTTGAGGTTCTTGTGGATAGAAACGGAGCCAATAGATGAAATAGCCACTATCACCATTCATCCTTTATTAAATCTGCATTAAAATGGCAGTGCAGGATACAGCTCTAAAAACATGAACTTGGTGTTCAATCAGCCTTGTGCTTGGGTGGAATATTCAAATTTTCCTTTTTGTTTTTTTTACAAATATTTCTTTTGAAACATTTCTTCTACCATATACAGAAAATCAACCCCTCTTTTTTACACCACATTTTCTAGGCCTTGCTGCATATTGTTCTCGCTCTCTGACCTAATGGAGACTTCCATGCAGGCAGATTTACAGAAGCACATGGCATTTTTTCAGATATAAAATTTCCTCCTTCAGGAATGAATTGGCGCTGTGGGTGCTCTTGGATGCAGCCCTGGCCAGCAGGAATGAAGCTGGCTCCCTTGGAGTGTCTGGCCTTATGGTGCTGCCATGTCCTAAATCCTTGGGCACTACAGGAAATCAGTCAAAGTTTTGCGATTGTGGGAAAGACCCTACACGCGGAAGAATGGAATATTTTGGGGAATATTAAGAGGCAGAATATTATATTTCCCTAAAGGAGAAATGGAGAAACATGCTTTTAAACAAAGAAAGCAGTCTTTCTAATAGACCCCAGCAGATATTTTGTGTCCATTAAGAAAGATTGGGCCAGCCAATTCACAAGTAACAGACCTTCATCTCCAGCGATGGCATTAACATTTACATTCTCCACCACCCAAATTCTAAGAACAGGAGTTTGTAGAGATTCTCAGTCACCCAGGTCATGGTTGTCCCAAAGGTCTTTTTCAGGGGGCAACTGGCCTTTCTTGTTTGTTTTTTTGAAGATGTTTCACTTTTCATCCAAGAAGCTTCTTCAACTCTGACAGGATTCCATTTCCCACTATCCTGTCAGAGCTGAAGAAGCTTCTTGGATGAGAAGGGAAACATCTTCAAAAGAAAACAAAAAAGAAAGCCCAGTTGCTTTCTGAAAAAGGACCTTTGGGACATCTAAAGCCAGGACATTAAATCTAATTTAATTTAATGTCGCATTTCTATGCCGCCCAACTCCCAAGGTACTCTGGGTGGCTTACAGCAAAAATAATGGAAACAATGAACATAGAAAAATTATTAAAAAACATTATAAAAACATTTTAAAAACATTAAAAGCCCATGCACACCGTTCATGGCCGGATCTCGCAAGATTGCATCCACGAGATCAACGGCCCCAGGCCTGCCAGAAGAGCCACAACTTCACTGCTTTCCGGAAGGCCAATAGGGTGGGGATAGTCCGGATCTCAGGAGATAACTTGTTCTACAGAGCTGGAGCAGCCACAGAGAAGGCCCTCCCCCACGGGCCCGCCAGCCGGCATTATTTAGCTGATGGGACCTGGAGGAGACCAACTCTGTGGGATCTTACCGGTCACTGGGAGCTATGATATCGAAGATAATCTGGCCCTGAGCCATGTAGGGCTTTAAAAGTAATATCCAACACCTTGAATTGTGCCTGGAGACCAATAGGGAGCCAGTGCAGCTCGTGGAGAATTGGTGTAATGTGGGTGTATCTAGGTGACATGACCTTTTAGGACATGATAGGATTAACCCACCACCATTAGAATAGCAAAACAGAGCTTACTACATTGCAAAATCCCAGCAGCATCACAGAAACATAGGTTTTGCCAAAGGTGCCTGCCTCGGAAAAAATCAAGGTGGAAATCTACCTCCTCGATTGGTAGGACATTGGGAAGGTTGCTCAGAGCAATTCTTTAGGCTCTGCAAGAATGAAGATAAAAAGATACTACAGGTAATCCATGACATATAACCACAATTGAGGTGGGCTGACAAAGAAAAGTGGGGGGAGCCTATTATTCAAAGCTCCTGAGAGGAGCAGAGGGAGACATATCAGAAAGGGCTCCAACCTAGAATCAAAGAGAAATTTCCTTTCAGTGAGAATCAGTGGAAACTCTTTGCCTCTAGAAGTTGTGGGTGCTCCATCAATGGGGTTTTTAAAGAGGAGATTGGACAGCCATTTGTCTGGACCGGTACTACAGGATCTCCTGCTTGGAGAGTTGGTCTCTTCCAACTCTTCTTATGTAATTCTGTAAGAGCTTCATAAACATTTAGGACTCAGCACATTCCTAACCTTCACAAGGTATTTAGTGTCACATTTCACATGGCTCAGTTGCAAAGGCGGGTTGCTAGGAATAGAAAACGACTTGATAGCATTTAATCAGTGAAAACCTCCTACAAACACATTAGAGACAGAACAAGCGTGTTCTTCTGCCCCCTATAGGGAGATGGCACTCACATATCAGTGACTAGAAAGCCCTTAATAGGCATAATTGGTTGAGCTTAAAGGAGTTAAAACCATCGAGTACAGCATTGGTAGAAAGGATGAGAGAAGAGTAACTTCTTCCGGCTCACTCATGGGAGGAAGCTGGAGTGCAGAGTGGCTTTTCTG